AGGGTTACACAATACCACCTAGGGTTGCATAATGCAACCCAGTGTCGCACAATGCAACCCAGTGTCACACAATGCCATTGGGGTTGCACACATGCAACCCAGGGTAAACGATGCCATGGGTCATACTGTCACACCCAGGTCATACTGTGTATCATTGCAGTGTAAACCACACTAATGAGACACAGGACCAGTTCAAACTAAATATTTCTCACCTCTGCAACTTTATACTGTACCACAAAATGATCTCCTCTTGTGACTGATTTTCTGGTTGTCAGTGCAGCCAGTAATGTTTCCTGTTTCACCTTCAACAAGTCTGAAATGACCTTTACCAGCCCAACATTTTTCACTGTCACACCGTCTTCTTTGTCAGATTTCTTCCGGAATTCCACGTTACCAAGGTGCAGTAAAGCAGATAATACTGAAAATATTCTGAAATAATAATAAACATTATTGATTAATAAATCTATGACATACGAATAATTTTACAGTACTTGTCTGAATTCAATTACCTCAATAAACTGTATCGCTGCTTGTTTATCTATTAACTAAATCTTATGGCTAAAAAAAAATTCTGTTTGGTAGTAAAGAAAGTACAAATTATTCATTTAGTGTAAGAGTAGCTTAGTATGTATGTGATTTTTGTCCAACAGAAAACATGTATAAAGATCCTCATTAAACTCTTGCTAGGTATCTGTAAAGACTGGTAGGGAGAAGTCGGAGAAAGGCATTATCAAAATAAAATGAAAATAGATAGGACGGCATACTCAGAATGTGAAGAGAGATAGGGAGGCATAACCAGTTCAATGTGAGGATAGATAGGGAGACATAACCAGTACAATGTGAGGATAGATAGGGAGACATAACCAGTACAATGTGAGGATAGATAGGGAGACATAACCAGTACAATGTGAGGATAGATAGGGAGACATACCCAGTACAATGTGAGGATAGATAGGGAGACATAACCAGTACAATCAAGGATAGATAGGGAGACATAACCAGTACAATCGAGGATAGATAGGGAGACATAACCAGTAAAATGTGAGGATAGATAGGGAGACATAAGCAGTACAATGTGAGGATAGATAGGGAGGCATAAGGCTGAAGGTCTATTCAATTACATTGTAGTTTTATTAATACAAGACAACATACAACTGCATATCCATATCAATTTCCTGTACACAGAGAGACAGGTGTTTTACAACATCAAGAGAATGGATGCCACAAATAATTTATAGCATTGTATAACAATATACTGAAGAGTTATTGAAATCTGATACATACATTATACAAATCCAACAAAGACTCAGCATGTACACAATACAGTGACATTTTAAGATAACTGTAAATATCCATGAATCAATCATCTAGCTCATAGATATACTAAATTTTGTGTTGGTTCAGAAAGTAAGCTGTTATCAAGCTTAAAGTGATTTGATAAGTGGTCTGCCTCTGCCAAGCTTTAAATGATGACATCACATATTTAAATAGTTTTTATCAGTAATGTCAATCTTTAGCGATGTCTATAAATTCTGAGATTCTATAATTAAGTTTGAATGCTACTTATCAGTGACAATATTTTGTGGTCGTAAATAATAAATCACTTTCACTATCAATCTCACAATTGTATTTTGTAGACAAATCTAATGAAGAACCTCTGTGTAAGTTGGTAACCATTTTTGGTATAGACAAAAAGATTTTTTATCTAACATATTATTATAACTTGTTTAATACACTGTAGCCTCGTTATAACGAACTCTTTGGGAGACATATAATTAGTTTGTTATAGTGAAATGTTCACTATATTGAAGCACTAAATACATTGGGTTTGTTGTAAGCGGGGGACGTGTTATGTGTTCATTATATCAGGAAATTTGTTATAAAGGTGTTCATTATATTGAGTTTACAGTGTAACCATGTGGGGTTATCATCTCGTTAATTCTAGTCATTTTAAAAGTTACAGTTTTATTCCCAAATTTGT